GTTGCCCTCACGGGTAATCCTGGCGTAAACTAACATATTTCGAGTGCGCTGTTACCCCCACGGGTAATCCTGGGGGTCTCATAGGGAATGAGGGCTACGCAAACACGGGTTAGTGACTTTAAACGGGAAATCCTCGTGTGGTCACTGCGCTAGAACCCCCATTCCCTATACTACTTGCGTGAGATCGATTGGCGTGGCTCATAGTATTTTTACTGCATGGATATAATGTAAGGACTTTGGCAGATGTAAATAAACATACTGGTATGATGATATTTAGCATCAAACGTGATATAAACGAAAACTAGGCGGTAGTCTGATAACTGGTGAACATGCGTGAGATCGATTGGCATGGGTCATAGTATTTTTGCTGCATGGATATAATGTAAGGACTTTGGCAGATGTAAATAAACGTACTGGTATGATGATATTTAGCATCAAACGTGATATAAACGAAAACTAGGCGGTAGTCTGATAACTCAGTGGTGAACATGCGTGAGATCGATTGGCTGGGTCATAGTATTTTTACTGTATTGATATGATGTTGGGACTTTGGCATATGTAAATAAGCATACTAGAGTATGATGATGTTTGCTGATTTGGCGCCGAGAAACGTCATATAAACGAAAACTAGGCGGTTGTCTGATACCAGGTGGACATGCGTAATGCGATTGGTTGGCTCTTAGTATTTTACTGCAGGGAAATGCTGCCAAGATTTTGGCAGATTTAAATAAAACATAATCTTTATTTGGCGCCAAACTTGATGTTAAAACAAGCCAGTCATTGGTCATATACCTAAGAAGCACATGCGTGGATAAGCTGGCTGTGTGGATCTCGTTTTTTTATCGTATTGATATGTTATCACTGAGGCAGCTGTAAGTAAAACGTACTGGCGTATGATGATCTATATGTTCACCAAACTTGATGTAAAAAAACTATACATTGCTTTGATACCTCGTGGACACGCGTGAGACTGGCTTTACTTCACATTTATATGTTGTTAGGATTTTGTCAGATGTAAATAAAATTAAAATTCTGCAACGAACATTGACTTCCGATGATTTATCCTATTGCTGTTTACTATTTACCTTTTCTTGTCCTGACCAATTAGAATGCTGTAACGAAGATCCGTCACAATCAGAACCCCTTTTTCCTCGCTGTTGACTATAACTTGTTTACAAAATCAAGAATTTTCGATCTGCCTGCTTTACTTAGAGGTAAGAAAAGCAAAACAATTTTTTTTTTTTTAATTGAAGGGAGAAGCTTAGATGTGATAAAGTCAAAACAGCGTTTTGCTTGAATGCGTTGAATCTCTAGCTGCAAAAAAGATTTAGGATTACACAAAAAACAGTTCGCTAGACAATTTTTTTTTTTTTTTTTTTTTTTTTCCAGCCATGAAAATTAAATGTTATAAAAACTGCGTCGTCCCTACCATGACAAGTTGCATGTTAACACAACGGCTAAGCGCCATCCGTTTTAGGATTTACTATCATCTTGACAAAAAAGTGATGAGGTCACTCATTTAGACTAGTCATAGTGTTTCTTCAGTTTTCCTGAAATTTTAGGAAAAATATAAACAAAACTGATTCCTCTCTAAGACTCATCTTATAAATAAACCAAATTTTTAAAAAATTTTACGTCGCGGTGATCGTAGGCTTTGTTTCTGGAATCCCCTTCACATCTAGTAGATCTAGAGTCGCTAATATATGATATAATATTATGTACAGCATATTCTAAAATTAAATCTATAATAACGAAATAATTAAGTAACAACATAATAAATAATTTATAATAAAATTAATACTTATTCCCTATTAAAAATTTTCTTAAAAAGGCCACGTTTAAAAGTATTTATATTCTTACTACTTTGAGGATCTTTTCCCAATTTATTCCATTCGCTGACACCCCGATACACCGATAATAAAACGCTAAATTGTTTATGCATAATGAAAACACAACAGAAATCACGACCGTGAAGAGTGTTGTAAATCAGATAAACTTTAACTTGAATTTTCTTGGGCAGATTCACTTCAATTTTGAAAATTGCGGCCCTCGGGATGTATATGGCTTATTGCCTTCGTTCTCGGTAATTAAGTAATATATACAGTATGAGCGGCCGTGTTGTATCCGATATACAAACTCGAGGCGTAATTATTAATGAGTTTGATAACTCTTACTTATAAACAACAGCATCTTGTCTTTTGTAGAAAGCCGCCAGAGGTCAGAAAACGAGCAAATTTGACCTACGTTTGAAGACCTACTGCGTGACACATAATCATTTATCCAAAGATTTCTTCCTATCATTAGAAAGACCATCATTTAAACCATCGACCAGTGATGTTTCAAGCCATTTCATACTTTAAGCGACTCTAAATACATGTCTAGGAAATAAAATTATTTCGTTGTGTTAACATGTTGTACACAATGGATTATTCTTATAGAATTTCGAGTGTTTGAACCTCTGGTGTGGGTTATTTTTCCTCCAGCGGCGACGAAAGTTGACTCACGATTCACTGTTGCAATGGCATTTTCGGCCTTGTTTGGAAAATTTCATTATTTTCCATTATAAAGCGTCATTTGATCAAACCAATACAGTGATTCTTAGGATACAATACCCTATCTGACTTCGATTTTTCAAGTTTCAAGGTTTGCCCAGGATTTTAAATTTTGCTCGTTTGTTACAGACAGTCACTCTTAAATCTGTCTAAAGACACCAAACACTGAGTTAGAATGACATCGGAACATCGCCTTATCTGAACAAACCAACCCCGTGGGGGGGTTACACCCCTATATTCGCTATAAGGGTATTTGTCGCCAAACAGGGTATGGTTTTTAGCGATTCTACTCTGGAACAGGGTATATAAAATCGCCCTCGCTCTGGGACAGACTATCTATTTTCGCAATACCGGAACAGGATATGATTTTCAGCGATCTTGCTCTGGAACAGGGTATGAATTTCAGCGATTTTACTCTGGAACAGGGTCAGGGTTCAGTGGGCTCAGCGGCACATCCCTACCCTAAACGGGCAAGAGTACCCTCCCCCCGGAAACCAATGCAGGCTTCGACTCCAAACGATCCTCGCAAAATCAATAAAGTACCCTAATACGTTGCATTTGTGCTTAGTTTCTGAGCAATATAAAACCTCTGAGAAAGAGCCGAGATTGGATGAACAAGTCATTSATGAAGCTTACGATCCAATATGTCGAAAGCTGATCTTATTTTCCATGGAGCGAATATCATCACCATGGATGACAATCTACCCTCGGCTGAAGCTGTAGCCATTAAAGAAGGCAAAATCGTCTTGGTGGGAACCAAAACTGAAGCTTTCAAGTTGGCAGGTCCAGGGACACAATACGTGGAGCTTCAAGGAAAGGAAACACTTCTTCCCGGCTTCATCGAACCCCATCAGCACGCCATCCAAATGATCTTGAATCGCTGTATGTACGTCAACTGTGGTGCATACAAACATGAAACGTACGACGAGATCAAGGAACTCATCGAAACAACAGTGGCTGCAACTGACCCAGCAAGTGGCGAGTGGTGCTTGTTTCTTGGCTGGGATCCAGAAATGATTCCGACATTACCTAAGCTGCATTTTGACGTAGTGGATTCTTTTTCAACTGAAATCCCTATAATTATCATTGGGCAGAGTTTTCACGTCGCTTGGTCGAATCGCAAAGCATTTCAGGTCGCAGAGATTCCCGAAAATATTGAAGATCCAGATGGAGGAGTCTTCGTGAGGGATGAAGACGGCAAGTTAACGGGACAAATGCTGGAATCACCGGCGATGGTAAAGGTTATGGCTCGTGCTCCTCAGCCAACAAGCCAGGAGATATCAAAAGCTCTCGAAGAACAGTGGGACGAATACGCCAGATGTGGATTCACTACAGTCACTGACCTAGCTTACATGCCAACTGACACTGATGTATTTGTCCAAGAGAAGTCAACGAAGCCCGACTGCCCCATACGTTTAGCTCTGTATAAACTGGTTGATGGTCCAGAAGATCAAGTTTTAAGAGAAACAGCGTCAGGCTGTAGTGTGCCACCGCCACGACCAAAGAAAAAAGTCGAACAAAAAGTCAAAGAAAACGACAAACTCTGGATTGCTGGAATCAAGATCATCGCAGACGGGTCCCCTCATTGTGGCACAGCAGCAGTTCGCGAAGCGTTTCTTGATACCGAATTAACAAGACTCCTTGGGTTTCCCCCACCTCCATGCTTTGGAATGCTGAACTATGATGATGCTTCTTTGTTGGAGACCGTCAAGTACTGGCACGGGCAGGGATATCAAATTGCTATACATACTCATGGGGAGARAGCAATCGAGCAAGTTTTGAGAACGTATGAACAGGTAAGACCGTCAAAATATCATTCTGTCAGTAATTTTCACAGGGAAACTTAAAGGTTATACAAGATCAGAATATATACCCAAATTTCGAGCGGTTCTCTTTCCTCAGTAGCCTTAGGGCTCTTTCCATTTAGTCAGAACTGGCCGGTCAATCTGGTCCATTCATAAAGAGAATTGTGTAATTGATCAAGACTGTTTTTCTGTTCCTAATTTTTATCCAGTATTCTAACCAACTATATTCTAACCAATAATGGTGCACGGCATAATGATCTCTGTCTATTTTTGCGCAATCGCTTTCATACCTTTCAGCCGCGATTAGCCGCGATCTTGGGCCAGATAGACCGGCCAGTTCTGACTAAATGGAAAGAGCCCTAAGGCTGAGCAAAGAGAACTTCATACCTTTCATACCTTTCAGCCGCGATCTTGGAATTGTTTTACGATAACCGCTGGTAAATAAAAAGTTTTGCCTAAATTKGAGTCCCAAAAGGGTTTTTAAACCACAACATTTTCTCAGCGCTTTCGGGTAAGCAAAGATCGCACAATATCTTTGTTATGATCTTGAATATCAATGATCAATTTTACATCAATAATATTATTTATAATAATGGGAATCCATATAAGGCGTTGAAGAGGTCAAACGCATCTGATCGTCGTCACCGCATGGAGCATCTTGGACTCTGTTGTGAAGGCCACATGATCCGGGCAGCAAAATTGAAAATTGCTTTATCCTTCTTTGTGCAACATCTGTACTTCTATGCAAAGGCATATTCAGAATCCATTTTTGGACCAGAGCGTACACGTCGTTGGGCCCCATTGAGTTTGGCCACAAAGCACAAGCTAACCTGGACCATCCATCAGGATCATCCTGCATATCCCCTGCCTCCTGAGCCTTTTGCCAACATGATGACAGCAGTTACACGAACAAGAAAAGGAGAACCCAACATTGTCTATGGAAAGGAGTACCGCGTGCCTATACAAGAAGCACTGAAAGCATACACCATCAATGCAGCCTGGCAGATCCACAAGGAGAAGGAGCTTGGTAGTTTGACAGTGGGGAAGAAAGCAGATCTTGTGATTCTGAGTAAGAACCCATTACAAGTGGATCCATTCAAGTTGGTAGACATCAAGKTTATTGACACCTATTTGGATGGGAAGTGCAATAATTTGAAACATAGGAAATAACTTGTTGATAATAGACACAGTAACAGTTGTAATAGTAGGAACAATGGTGATTATAATAACTTGGTTAACATACGTTCACTAAATGAAATCACATTTCTTGATGATCGTGATACTCACTCTTTTCAAGAACGGCAATGTATTTGAAAAAAGTTAAAACAGGCACCKATCCAATTTTCAATTTTGATGCACATTTAACAAAGTCAATGTATTTGAAAAAAGTTAAAACAGGCACCTATCCAATTTTCAATTTTGATGCACATTCGTAAAATAATTTTTTACAATAACTTACAAATTTCTCGCGCACTGATTGGTCATTTTTTTATCATCAACAAAGATTAATAAACCTGACGTCAACGAGCGCGCGTTCTTTCCGTTGGTTGTTTTGATCGCTAAAAATGAGAAACGCCTACTTTGACAATGTGGTGACGCAATTTATCGTCAATAAGAGGACAGCACTTAAAAAAATTTGTTAATTATGGCTATTTTAATAAAGTGATACACCATAAAACCTAAAAGATGAGACCAAAAACGATTACAAAAATCGGAGACATCTATCAATGAATAAAGCTATCCTAATTGTTCGTTGACGTATGAACATTTTTATAAGTACAGTGGCTTTGGCCTCGGCAAACATTCTCCTGAGGTCTGGGTCTTTTTTATTCAAACATAAATCTTTTATTCTACAACGATTGTTTCATTCATTCATGTCAATAAAAATGTATTTACAACTTTACTCTTTCTATATATCATTTCTTTGTGGATTATATTACAATGTACTTTTGGTAAAAAATGAAAATCTAATAATAATAATAAAATATTAATAATAGGTTTAGTACACTCTATCAAAATTGTGTGTTCTGGGAAGTATGGTTGGGGATGTATGTAGCCTCTAGCCCTTCCAACCCGCTTCGCTCACCATTAGGAAATTATCCCACATGCCCGACATTTCTTTGCTCCGTATGGCACTAACACTGGCTTTCTGTATCTGTTTCACTGCTAGTTGCTTTGATATACACAATTCATAGTAGATCTCTTCCTTATTGTCTTCCAACGTTGAAATGTTAGTACCCTCATTTTGTTTCGTGTGGCAACAGATCTTTGTGAAGATAATTTTGACCCTCGGATCAAGGGTCATTCCCTTGAGTATTATTTCCTTTTTTTCGATAATGCTTGACAGATGCTGGACTTTCGGTTAGTACTTATTCCACGGAGGATCGAAGTGGCTGGAAAAGTACGCCAAACTAAGGTTTTACGGTCTATATAGAACTTCTCTTGTGTAGTTTTAGCTTTGACATTTTTTTAAGTCTGGAAAAAAGGTGATCAATGTTAAAGAGGCCAACAAATGTCATACCCACTTGCGTGCAGCCCGACTTTAATAGACTGTGGGTAAGCAAAGCTATAATTTTCAGTATATAGAAATATAAAAACACAGAGATAATATTTTTGAAATAAAATTGTTAGATGATGCTGAGCATAATATCTTGAATGGGTATCTCTAGCAATGTTGAACGGTACTAAAGTTTTCCAACGTAGCCTTGCTTTCAAGCACTTTAGGATGAGGTTACGTGGATTTAAACGGTTTTTTTAAAAATTTTAATTGGAATAAACAAGGCTCCGTGTACTCAAGGTCCATTATCAAGGCTGACGTCTTAGTCTATGTCATCGGCCCGCGACTATGAACCTCAGCTATACTAATTTCAAACTTGTATAGTCTATCAATGAAAAAGGGTGTCCATGATGTGCATGCGCCGCTATGAGTAATATCTGGCCTAGTATCCTGGTATATAGGAATTAAGGATAGTGTAGAAGTAGTGCTTTCGCCCCTGGGAACTCGAGTTCGTTTGCTCGACACGACATCACATGTGAGTAGAGTATGTTAGGTCTCTCCCTTGATTCGAGAGTTTTTTCACCAGATTCAACGGTTTTCCTCCCCAATTCCAATTCATTCGATCTGTGAGTTACCTGTGAATTTTCATGATTTTGATCAGCCAAGAACAAGAGTTTTTCAGGTTATGGGTGAGCCAGTCTTACCTTACGCATCTTACAAATATAGCTAAACTGGAAGTCGCAGGGAAAGTCATTCCACTTTCCGTTGGGCTTCAATAAAGCGCAGTGTTCGTTCCAATATCTCTGACCGTTGTTTGGTTCTCCTCTTGCCCAGTTGGTATAAGTCAGTGGAGTGCTATCAAAATTAAATGTAAACGAGACGTTACTTAGACGTCAAATGTCTTATTTTTCCAAAGCAGCATTTAAACAATACTGAAACGATGCAGGCCCATCGTTTCCTGACCAAGGAATAATTTGGCCGTTAATTTCTTTCTTTGCTTTTGGTTGATTTAATGAAAAGAGACTAGAGCAGTTTTCGCATGACCGTGAAAAGCTCAGTGCCGTAAGCGGTACGTGCCGTGACCGTGATGCTTTCTATAGAATTTTAATTGGCTGATTTTTTTCATGCGCAATATGATTGGTCTTGCATTGCCTTGACGAGACCGTGTCCGCGCTGTGTTTGAGCCGTGTTCCGGGTATTTGATTGGATGGAAAGTAAATTCTCGTGCAATGTGATTGGTCTGGCATATGTCTTGCTGTGCACGACCGTGTCCGCGCCGTGAGCTTTTTATAGTCATACGAAAACTGCTCTATGATGGCGGCTTTGAAAACCAGCAATACTAGCTATATCGTGAAAATAATATTCCCGGGATCAGTGTTGTATGTGAGTAGAGTTCCTAGTTGGTTCTCTCCTGTGCCTCGAGGGTTTTTCTCCGGATTCTCCGATTTTCCTCCTTCCACACACACACAAAAATAAAACTCCTTAATTCCTATTCGATAATGGAACGGGGCCACAGGTTTGTTTGCCACTGGCTATTGAGTGTTAAACAAGGAYGATTTTTTAAAAATGTGTAAAGATCTTTCTTTTGCCCTATTGATACTTTACGTCCATAGTTGCGGCGGCCATCTTGGATCGCAAGGCATTATGGGTATTAACGGGGGAAAACAAAACAAAGATGCTGAAATGACGACTCCACGATATTTGAGAAATGTCCTCAATTGTGGAACTGTTCTCTTATTTTAATTCATCTCCTGTCAGATTGTTTTGTTGTTGTGAATCATAAATGTCAACTCTACGCCATTATTTGCCCCCTGGATGACCCAGGATGCTTTGTGATTCAAGATGGCCGCCGCATCGTTGAAATAGTCAACTAACGTACCCATTTTCCCAGGTCCAGTTCCCTTCTTGTCTGAAGTCACTTAAACCAATCCACACGTAGTTTTTCTTTTGGACTTGATATCGGACAAATTCTTGTTCTTCGCTGCTTGTAATTGTCAGTAACTCGGCTCCGTTTTGTCTACATTTCACGTAAGCTTTCAACCACGAATGATAGTGTTTTTTGAGTTTATAGCAATATAGGTTGTCGTTGATGTTATAGGACGCCCATCCACGAGGACAATCATCTGTCAAAACGTAAAGGCAGCTATTACATTGAAACTTAGATAAAACCGRTGAAACTACAGAACTAACGTCCACAACCTCTCCCCAACGCTAGCTTATAGAATAGCAGAAATAGGCCGTTTGCGTGATGGCACCATCTTTTTTTACCACTACCAGAATGCTTTGAAAAAAAAATCGTTTTTGGATTCAAATTTAGATTACTTGCTTGAGAGTAATCAAAAGAGAGTGTGCAAAGGATCATGGTCGTGATAATATGTGACGCTACAATGCAACAGTCATTCTCAATAGCACGGGCGATATCGTCTTTACGACGAAATACTGATACTTTGGTAGACGTCAATCAAGGCGTTTCCATAACATGTCATCGGTACGTGCCCTTGAAAACTTGTACAATGAGTATCATGGAACACATTGATTGACGTCCACTCAAGCCCCATTTTGTGGTGACAGCAAATTATCTTATTACACGAATCTTGTTGGCAAGGACTGTAAGTCAATAATAATCCCGTTCACAGTTTTTCTGAAAGGTAGCCTTTGCATCCAAGGAAACGAACAGTGAATTTGCAATGATAGAGACCTTTTTTAACACCATGGACAATTATTCACACGTCTCTATCATTGCAAGCTCACCGTTTATCTCACTTCGATGCAAAGGCACGGCTACTTTTCTAGATGGCGCAGGGAATTGTGAAGGGGACTATCACATAATGCCATTAACTTAAAAGGATTCCTCACTTACAATCACTGTATTTATACGTAACTTCGCCGGTGTTTGCTCTAATCATACTTTTCCTGGCTTTAAGATCACGTCGGGCTGGATTAAACGCGCGGWATCTATAATAACTGGTCCATCGCAAACTGAAGCCTGTCCTTTGAATAGAGCCATCGGAACGGAATCGAATGGTAAAGGAATTCGAAGAGGTTGTCTTCGTAACTGAAATAAAAATTAAATTTAAAGATCAGTTAAATATGATCACTGATCAGTCACTGATCATGACCTCTTTTGATCAGTAAAGAAAAAGAGAAGAGAATAGGGAAGGCAAATACAAATGAAAGCGAAAAGGAGCGGGAAGTCAACAATTGATTTTTAGTTACCTTGTCGTCTTTGTCCGCAGTATCTACCCAAGGACGGTGACGATCTGGTATCCCCGTCTTTCAAACTTACAAAGTCACGGCCACAGTGCCCAGTGCTATCAATATTCATATATTCGAAATAGAATTTAATAACTCGTCCAGTAGACGCCGTAACGACCCATTCGCAGTCTAGATTTGGACGATAGTGGGATGGAAATCCTGGACTGGTCAAACGACCATAGTTACTTTCTATACGACCACCACAACTATCCTTAGGCGTTAACCCACTATCGTACATTCTATTAAGTACTGCAAGAAGAAAGGAACACTGGTATTAGGGACTTTAAGATTTGCAAAATCTGCGATCGACGGCGACGTGAACCGGAACTGTCAATTACTTCACTTTGGGGTTTCGAGTCTTTAAAATCTGTCTTCTTTGTGGATGAGTTGACTTTACTGACAATGTCTTGAATGAAATCTCCAATGAACAGAACCCCAAAGAGAAATTATTTATACTTCCGGTTGACGTCGCCGTCGTAGATTTTGCAAATCTTAAAGTCCCTAATGTTATTGCTAATGAGGGTACCAAGAGGGTAGCGCGAAGGACCTATAAAGAAAACCTTAAGGACCTACGAGAGCCTTGTAAGAGATCCATAAGAGGCCCACAAAACACGTACCTTTAAGGGAACCATAAGGGTTCCATAATAAAACCTTTTAGGATCTACAGGAGCTCTGTAAGAGACCCATAGCGGTATGCGTCTTTAAAAGAAACACAAGGGGAGCCATAAGGGACTAAAAACGACCCCATGGGAGAACCATAAGAAATAAGGCACCCGCACGGGGAATAATGAAGAGAACGATAGGAACCCGAAGGGGCCTTCAAGGGRCCCACCAGGGAAGAAATTCAAACTGGTCGACAAGGGACCCAAAAAATACGTTTCTTTGTGATACTTTGCAGACATGTTTCAAAGTGACATTCTGGCTTCCATAAAGCAAGAGCATAATGCACCTTATTTTTGTAATGGAAACCGCCTGAGCAAGATTATTTACCATGTATATTTCCTGCCGACGTTGATCCATCAGTCTCAGTATTGACAGCACTCCATGTCGCGTCAAACCCTCGATAAGTGTGTCTGCCATTGGAATGGAATCGCACCCACATGTCGGTACCTGTTGACCACGTAATCTCAGGTGTAACTGCTCCACAGTATTTTCCGAGAGCAAGAGAATCTTGCTTTCCGTCACGCACTTCAACATAATCATTAAGACAGGATTCTGTCGAAGTGAATCGAAATTATCAAGGAATTGAAACAAAGAAAATAAGCATCAAAGAGAAGAATGGTAGCTAGCTTCCCCTTATGAGAATTTAGAGATATCTTATGGCGCAAAAGTGAGCACACTTCCACTACCGCTACTTGATTCGAGCCCRACAACCTTGCCTTTTGGATCTGTATATATCCTACATAGTTGTCACCGCGCGCTTATCATAGCTTTCGCAAGTCTAAACTACATGTACACATGTGTGCATGCAGTACAATGCGTGAATATCTCAAATGACTTTCAAACTAATAGAGCACATGCAGTAAAACCATGAAATAAAAACAAAGTTGATATTGACAAATAGTAGCTATTTAGTAACTAATAGTTGCTATCACTCAACCAGAAAATTCATCATACAAAGACAAATACACAAGAGACCATTTCAGTATGTACTATTTGCCAGTATCAAATTTGTTTTCCTTTCATGGTTTTACTGCATGTGCTCTACTTCACCATTGCATTGAATATTGTATACAGTCCTTTGACTAAACGTTGTCGTTTGATCGGCTTCATCCCTAACGCGCATAGACCGAAAAGGATCATGGGGATAATTAATTCACAGTTACTAGCTGCCGCATATGTTATCTAACACGTCTTGAGCTCCCTTTTTTCGATCCCATTCAATTTGCTAAAACCATGCCTCGAGCATACGGCGAAGATTTAACGCTGACGAGCAGTTTGGATGTCGCAAGTTCTGGGTAATCTACCCGTTATCCTTTTCGGTCTAGGCGCGTAGGGATGATCCGATCAACGACAACGTTTAGTCAAAGGATTGTATTCTCTTCTTTTCAGACTACAAAGCGCAATATTTAAAAAAAAATATTTTTCGATCTTGCAAGATTGACTTGCCTCCATTTTCCATGTGAAAGTAAGAGAATACAAGTTTGACTTGGAGGTTTTCTGGTGCTTTGATGATCCAAGTGCACTCGATGTTATTAGGATAATTRTTTGGATAACCTGGAGATATGATACGACCACTTCTCCCGGTCACAGTACCGCCACACTCTAAAAACAATATATATAATTAGTATTATTTTAGACTTAGCGACCAGTGATTCTGAGACGATAATCACTGCTCAAGCGGGGATTATGAGGTTTTCCAGAGTTTGTCAGACTAGCGGCTCGGTAATTCACCGATAATCACTTCGCCTTGGCGAATAATTGTTRAATAGGAAGAACAAATCCTCAGGGTTCCTTTTAATATCAGAGGCAATTAGCCACTTACTGGACTACACCAATGTTTTTATCTATGTTTAAATAAAGGTGTCTAACTATCTATCTTTAATATGGCGAGGATAGAATGACTTTCAAACGTCAAGGCAAGTCACAGAATTGTCAGAATAAAAGGTCCTCGATATTACAAGGCATTGGACTAAATTTACCTATTCTGCATTGCAAGGTATTGCATCGCTGCGTTTCTGTGGTTCGTCCTGCACATCTCCCAACACAAGTACGCCTGCGCACTTGGGTACCACCGCCGCAAGAAACACTGCAGGCACCCCATGCTGACCAGTCTCGCCATCCCACTATAAAACAAACAATAACAAAAAAAAACAATTAGAAATGACATTGGTAAACAAATAAAGGTTAAAAWACTTACCAACTCTACAAGGAGTCGTGTTACATATTCTGGTTTCATATGTTCTTCCAATACAGTTTTTGCCWCCATTCGTGGGTCTCGGGTTTGTACAAGTGCGCGTGCGCTGCTGAAAACCACCTCCGCATGATTTACTGCAGGCTCTCCATGTCGACCATAACGACCATTTGCCATCTGAAAACAGCGACCAAAAATGGTTTTCAAGATATGAAATGGGTAAAAATCCTTTATTCTAAAAATCTTACCAGTTTTACAAGGGTTGGTGTTGCATTGTCTGGTTTGATAGCTTAGTCCGTAACAATTTCGCCCGCCGTTAGCAGGTCTTGGATTTGTACAACTACGCATGCGCTGCTGRATTCCACCGCCACATATTTTACTGCAGGTTTTCCATTGGGACCATAAGGACCATCTACCATCTGAAAAAAAAAAGATAAATTATCATGGTTACTATAATTAGTTCACTGACATTTTACCGACATTCGGTTTGCTCAGTTCGGGCTGTCGTGCGGGARGTYGTGGGTTCAAGCCTCGRCCGGACCAACACTCCGGGTCTTAAAATCACTGAGGGGAAAGTGCTGCTGTTTAGAATTTGAAGTGGCTCGAATGACTAATTAACGTAGCGGTGCCGTCTCTCTACCCTTCATCATTACTAACCAATATTGGATAAACGTAATAGAATCACTAGTACTGAGGACGTAAAGAAACCCTGGCAGTGACCAGTGTCTCTGTGTCTACACCTCATACTAACCACCTCTCATRATTGAAAGGGCCTGATTAAGGGCAGTGTATTGCCCGATTTCCATGTCGCTACTGTTGTCTCGATCAGCGCGTAGCAATGCAAACAGTTKTAAGTTACTACGAAAGGTAATKATTCTCACCGACTTTACAAGGCCGAGTGTTGCACGATCTCTTTTCGAGTGTCTTTCCAATACAGTTCCTACCACCATTAGCTGGTCTGGGGTTTGTGCAACTGCGCKTGCGCAACTGGAATCCACCACCGCACTTTGTACTGCAGGCTCTCCATGATGACCATAACCTCCATCCACCATCTTTGGAGAAAAATGAAGGTTTAACATTTGTTATGACTATTTTAGAATTGCGGAATGCCTATATATTTATTATTATTTTAGAAATACTTGAGAGCATGGGGTTCAACCATATRTTGGAGAAACATATTACGAAGTGCAGCAAATCAGTTTCAGAAAAGAAACCGGCAAAAGGAAAACACTTCGAATCTTATTGGAGAATCATGAAGCACCCTCGGATCGGAGGTCGGATCAAAGTCATGGCCCTAACTAACTCAAAGATCGAAACTTGAAACAATCTCTGGGCTGATGTAAGCCAGGGCATGACTAACTTGAAACAACCTCTGGGCAGATCTAAGTCAGGGCACGGATAACTCACATACCGAACCCTGAAACAACCT